AAAAAAAAAATTGGATTTAAAAAATTTAAAAATGTCACTTAAAGTATGCACCCCCTATTAAGTTCTGCATACAGGAGTACTTTTATGCGAAAATAAATACAATTAGCAACCCATCAGAATGAAAACATCCACATGCTAAACCAACATATTGAAACATCACAGTATGTTAAACTCCATTACAGCTTCATTGGAACTTTGCTAGAGTTTTGCACATACACTAGGACCGGAGAATGAGAACAGGAAGATACCTGCATGAGCAACTGGTGGTGGTGAGAATCTTCAGAAGATGGTGCACTAGCTTTTGCATCAAGCTCAGAGGATGTTTTGTCAGCCTTCACAGCTAAAAGAGGGATGAGGTGGGTCTCAAGATTCGGTTTAAACCCTTCAGTATTTACTGCCCTGCCAATCACGAAGCAAACAAAAAAGTCACAAACATCAGTGCATCCACAATATATATAAGAACAGAAAATCTAACACAGTTGTTTGCCGAATGAAACAGCATACAAGATGAATATGCTGCAAACCATTGAATTTCTTAGATGGTGACCAAGAATCAAACAGTTGGATTTCATTTTAAGTAAATTGTTTTTTGGACTTCACTTCACATATTAATTAGTACATACATAATTGTAACTAATTCTTCAAGTTATCACAAAACATAGTGAGCACCCAATTGTCCAGAGTGAAGATGGGACCCATCACATACAGATTCTAAAAGACGAATCAATCCAAATAATGGTAAGCTGCTCAAATGATACTAGTGTTGAAGTATATTATAAGCCCATCCCACAAGTACTAAAGGCCCTAAGTCTATATATATGGGCATCTTCATGAGTGAATTTATCATACCCCGTGTGTCATCCATTGCCTCGTCTTCCACCTCATCCTTCGCTAAGTGGCATCATTGTCTTGGTCATTTGAGTGGGTCTCGTTTGTCTACTTTTATTAGTATTGGTTATTTAGGTCGTACATCTATGGAGTCTAGTTTCATTGTAAGGGTTATTCACTTATGTATGGGGTCCGTCCACTTTTCCTACAAAAATTGACAATAAATATTATTTTCTTTTTATTTAGAGTCATTCTCTATATACTTGGATTTATTTATAAAAATTTTGCTCGCATGATCCCTACTCAATTTTCTACTCCTATTCAAGTTTTTCATTATGATTCTGGTGGTGAGATGTTTTTACCTGTGCACTCTTGCCCAACTCTCCTAATGCATGTGCAGAATGGTGTTGTGGAAAGAAAATATTGTCATGTCATCTCGACTCTCATTGAGACTGTTAGAACTCTTCTCATTGCCTCCTTTGTTCGTTCTCATTTTCATTTTTGGGGAGAAGTTGTGTCTACAGCCATTTATCTTATCAACCGACAACCATCTTCCAAACTGTTGGTAGTCTTGGTGAGGTTCTTTTTGGTATTCCCTTTAGCTATGATCATCTTCGGGTTTTCGGATGTATATGTGCTGCTTGCTCCTCATGAACGCACTAGCTCAGTCGGTTGAGTGCGTCTTTTTAGGGTATAATCCTGAGCATAAGGGTTATTACAGTTATGATTCTTCCACTCGTCGCATGCGTATATCGCGTAATGTAACCTTTGTCGAGGATCGTCCTTTCTTTTATAACCCTTCCACTCACCCCACATCTTCTTTTCCTTCTTCAGAGTCAAGTAATTTTTATGGTTTCCTCCTATTTCCTATCTTGATGATGATGTCAATGTCTCTTCTCCATCTTCCACTCATGATGAGCCTGCACCACCTGATGAGCCTCCACCACATAAACAAACCATCACACAAGTCTATACTCATTGTCCCAAAGGTCACACAACGCTTTCGCCTCATTCTACTACCCCGGTCAGTCCTAATGCTCCCTCGTCCTCTTGATGATTATGTTGATTCTGACGCGCCGCCAAATGCTATTCTGGAAAACATGATGTTGGTCATATATATAACTTACATGATCGTTCTACTATTGAACCTCAGTATCCTCCTGATAGGTTGGGTTTTCCACGTGCGGGAGGTAGTATTGATGAGCTCTCAATCTATGAGGAAACTTTGAGTATTTCGGAGTGGCAATTGGCTATGTTAGAGGAGCTTGTTGCACTTGATTGTATTGGCACTTGAGTTCTTGTTCTGTTACTGTCGCATGTCGTACCTATCACCTTATCGCCTATAAGTGGCCTTTAACCAAGTCGAATGGTTCCATAAAGAGATATAAAGCTCGTCTTGTTGCTAGAGGCTTTCAGCAGACTCATAGGCGAAATAATGATGAAATTTTTGCTCCCGTTACTCACATGACTATTGTCCGTACTTTGATTGCAAGGCTACTCATTCTTGCACCATATTTCAGATAGATGTGAAAAATACATTCTTTTATGGTGCTCTACATTAGGAAGTTTATATGCAACTACCACTGGGTGTTGATGCCCCCTCCGGACATGTTTGTCGTCTTCGCCGCGCACTATATGGTCTCAAACCCTGATTTTAGGTCGTCCGATTAATCGCGATTAATCGTCCTGGTCGCTCCCAAGTGCTCGATTAGGAGGTCCGACCCGACCAGCTCGACTAGAAACCTGGTCGTCCGATTAATCGTCGATTAATCGCGATTAATCGTCCGACCAGGGCATATGGACGACCAGGACATATATTTGTCTTTTTGGGTTGGTATGTGGGCTGCTAGGCTTGGCCTGTTTGGCCTGTTAGGGTTAGGATATATATAGGAATGAGGCAGCCCGATTAATCTAGCTGGTCGACGATTAATCACGATTAATGGTCTGGTCGGTCCGTGGTCGACCAGCCGACCAAACACTGGTCTCAAACAAGCTCCACATGCTTGACCTATGTATACAGGTTGTTGGTATTTCCCTAGTGATCATCATCCTACCTTGTTTATTCATTTCTCCACATGGGCGTACTCTACTTCATATGTTGATTGCGGGAGATGATGTCGAACATATTTCTCATATCAAGAAGCAACTAGTCAGCAATTTTAGATGTTCGATTTGGGTCCTCTTAACTACTTTTTAGGCATTGAGGTGATGCATTATGCCTCGTGTTACTACTTTTCTCAGTCCATATACATACAAGACCTTCTTGCTCGTTCACGTATTACTCGTATTTATGATTAGCCTTTGGATCATCACTTACAGCTCCCGTCCCATTTCCCACGTCCCATTTCCCACTGATGGTATGGCTCTTGAGGATCACTCTCTCTATCGACATATTCTAGGCAATCATCTACCTTTCAGGCCTCACATTGCTCATGTTGTTCGTCAGTTTGTGCTCCTACTTTGGTTCATTTTGGGCATTTATTTCGTGTGCTATGGTACTTAAGTGGAATATCATCGCGGTGTTTATTATATGCTCATGATAGTCTCTTCTGCTTACTCGGACTCCACTTGCGCGAGTAATCCAACAGATCGTCGTTCTGTTGGTTATTGCATTTTTCTTTGTTCTTCTCATCTTACATGGAAGTTTAAGAAGCAAGCAGTTGTATCTCAATCACAACAATCACAATCTAGCACAGAGGCAAAACTTCGCGCACTTACTACTACCATCTCAGAAATTATATGGCTTTGATGCCTGTTAACCGATTTTGGTGTTCTATGTGATGCTCCTACACCTCTTCTTTGTGATAATACTACACTTCTTCTTTGGGGATAATACTGGAGCAATCCAAATTGCCAAAATCTAGTGAAGCATGAACTTACAAAATACATTGGTGTTAATGCTTCCTTTACCCAGCATTGTCATCAGAAAACATTGTTCTTCACGATGTGCCGTCAAAACTGCAAGTGGCTGATTTTTTCACCAAAACACAAACTAGAGAGCAGCATCGACTTCACTTTCTCAAACTCAGTACTTCGGATCCTCCACCTCCACCTTGAGTTTCAAGTGGGGTGTTAGTATATTATAGGCCCAACTAATATATACTAAAGGCCCTAAGTCTATATATATGGGCATCTTCATAACAACTAAATTCTTCCTTTGATATCAAGAACCATTGATAAAGGCTACAAACTAGCATGTACTTTGGCTCTCCAACAGAAAATATCTTATCAGTTAGTTGCGTATAACCCTTAAAATATAAAAAGAATATCAATATAAACTACTAACAATCCATGACCACTCAATCACAAGAAAAATGCGTTTTCTATCCTTGAGTCGCTAACATTAATTTAATTCAAAGTCTATATGGGTAGCAAGAAGATAGAAAACAATGTGTGGGCTGACTCTTTGGGGAGAAACAAATACCTGTCAAGATGAATAGCAAGTGTAGGCACTCGCAACAAAGGACGTTTTATCTTGACTAGTTTATGTGAAAAGGAACCATCATCAGCTCTAATAATAACCCTTCCAGCCAGACTTAGGTCTCTATCGAACCAAGTGTGCCACAAACCACTACCATAAGTTTGAACGTTAACCATAAGATACCCAGATTTGGATGATGCAGATTTTGGCTTTAGTTTGAGGCATGGGCTATCGGTATGCGCAGCAATCACATGAAAACCACTGCCAACTGTGTACCTGCAAGACTAATATAAGGATTTCATTAACCAACATCGAATAGAAAACAGAGGCAAATGTTTTGATGCCGAGAAACCGAGAAAGAAACACATCACAACTAAGTTATTTGGAGTAGCTACAAATGTATCCAGACAATTTATCTTTACAAATTCTATGCCTCAGGAAAATTAAAATCTGAAGCATAATGCATGACAATGCTGTACTGCAACTTCTAAAATGTATGAGACAATATTACTCACTTTTCACCAATGGCAAACGCAATTAATGAAGACATGTTTCGTGTAAAAACATATCGTCCCCCAGGCTTCAGCTCCCACTCTTCATTCTCATTCAGCAATCGGAACCCAGCAGCAACAAGTTGTCGTTTTGCTTCAGCTAAAACACGGATTGAGTAACAGTTACTACAAATTTCAAACAGATTAACATCAAAAATTGTTTTTTATTTTTTTTCTCATGGAATTGGTTGAACTGTGAAAAGAATATATTGAGCTGTTATGTGCAGTGTACTTAAAGACGTTTCTGGGAGTCATATACCTATTCCCACATTAAAGGTAAACAATCTACAACAACTTTCTAAAACCAGATTCATTGTTGATTTTAAATTATGATGAGATTCTAAAAACGAGATGATATTCACACTATGAAATTAATTCTGCTCATTTGACTGACCATTAAAATTTCTTTATTCTGTATAGTCCAATCAATCCATCCAGTTAAGTCACCTGTCATGGTTTTAGATGGGTTCATTATCAACAATTTTAAACTTAAGCCTGCAGAAGCATGAAAATAGATTATTTTTATAATTCATCGACTTAACAAACATGTGAAATGTTTTACCTAATAGCTTTGCAACTAGCTTCCACATTACTTCTTTTGCAGGGAGAATTTTTCCCTTCATTAAATTTTTACATACCAAGGAACTAACTTTTCCCCTTTATGTAAATGGTTTAGCAACTTTCTCCATTCTGAGTTTGTAGGAATAATCATTTTCACTCTGTTAACTTTTGCGTGAGGACAATCAATTTCACTCTGTAACTTTTCTCAAAAGATATTTCATTATTCCTCAAGTTTAGGAATTTGCAGCGACTGACTTGAGAAATATCTTGAAGCATAGCATTGTAAATGCACAACTTTCAGAACTGATTTTCGCAACAAAGTGAAAACATTTGTTGCTATAACACAAATCATTTTCAGAGTGAGAGTAATCTACCTAAGTTATGAGATTATTAAACTGAACATCGCAACTCAATGACATTGTCATGAAGTAGGACTGTGACTCAAACCTTCTTCAGGGTTCAACTGTTCCTTCTACCTTTGTTCCACAAACCGTTACTATTGAGCAATGTTCCATATGACATTATAAGCACTTTGATGCCTATTGAAAAAATCTGAAGTACATCGAGTGCTCAATTTCCATTAATTCTATTCTAGAGAGTTACAGAATTTCGAGTATAGTTATACCTTTAACATTTGATATCACTTGCAATTATCAACTTAAAGTCATTTAATTACGCTCAGAAAATTATACACAACATTCTAATATTATATGTGTGTACCAATTCATATCCATTTTCCACCAACAGCTTGAGGCTTACTTTATTTTCAAGCGCACACACAGCACTTTATCCTCTCCTCTGTCCTCATACCTTTTGCTAACTCCTACCAATTTACTCATTTCCATGCATTACTATCATGTTATCCTCTCCTATGTCCTCATACCTTTTGCTAACTCCTACCAGTTTACTCATTTCCACACATTACTATCTCAAATGTCTAAACTAAAAACCGACAAAATATAATCGAATTAAACTAAAAATCCACCCAAAAACGCATAGGTTAAACACAGAAGACGCAATACCAGTAGCATGAAACTGAGTCCATGACTCGTTGAGGTAGTCAAGAAGGTCGCCAACTATTGATTGGCAGGATTCAGTGCTTGAAATACTAGTCTGCAATCAAACATTCAAGAGCGCCAGACTTCAAACACAGACAACACCAAAGTGGAAACAAAATGTAACCATAATACAGATGTATAGACCTCGGAATTGGATCGGAGAGGTGAAGTCGTGGAAATTTTGCGGTGGCCCCCGTGACGGCGAGAATGGGCGCCGTCTTCGTTGGTGTGAACAGTGAAGAAAGGTGACGGGCGAGTAAACTTTGATACGATCGCTGAGGATTTGGGGAATGGAGATGGGTGGAGAAGATGAAACCGAGCAATGGCCGCCATTACTTGTAGCTTCGAACTGAAGGTGAGACTATGAGGACAACACAGGAAAGACGAGATAATAAAACCCAAATTAGCCCGGCTATAATATAATTGGATTTGATTTCATGCCCGACCCAGCAGTCTAGCACAACCTCCGTTCCTCAACCGGCACCACGGGCTCGCTTGTTAACAAAATAATTCGTCCAAACTGAGTTATTTTAGTTACTAAAGTTAATTTTAAAAAATGTGGTATAATTAGCTGTTGGTGAAATTTTAAGAATGTACTAGTACAAAGCCCCATGCATGCACAATCAATCTTAAGGCAATTTATCCAGCCTTATAATTATATAAATGAATGAAGAAAAATATACGGAATATAAATAGTATGTGACCTGTGCGAGGCACGTGATATATTTATTTGGGGATTATTATACTATAAGATGCAATATTCAATAAAAAATTTACAATACATGAAATAAATATAAATAATGTAAATATCTAAATACATACACGATATGTGGAATAAATAAGGGTTAATTGCTAAATAAACTTTAACCTTTTTGCGTTTGGCAATTTTATCCCAATGTTTAGGTAATTGCAATATAATCTCGACCTCAATTTACTAATTGCAATCCCAATCTCGGACCATCAAAAAACTGGTCGATTTGAAGGTGGTTCGAACAGATCGAAGCTCATATTTACCGGTTCACTCCAGATCTAGGAGGAGACTCATCACCGGTAGCTTACATCGACGTGTAATTTTCTGCTTTGTGTGTGGATATACATTAGATACGTGGAAATTGTCAGCTTGCTACGTTGATGGCATAAAAACCCGTGTCAATTGAAGACATGAACACAAAATCGTTCCATAAATCCCGAAAATCAATCACTCTGCACCTAAATTTGCAATAAGTAAATTGAGGTCGAGAATTATATTGCAATTACCCAAAGATTGGGATAAAATTGTCAAACGCAAAAAGGTTAAAGTTTATTTAGCAATTAACCCAATAAATAAACCAAATTGCAAATCTGAAAAATATAATTTAAAAAAAAAAATCGAAAATATATTTCACTAAACATGTACAAAAATATCTAAATACATACACGAAAATAAAAAAGATATATGTTTCAAAATTTCGAAACTAAAACAAAAATTCAAATAATTTGGTTAACAGTTTTATCATGCAGAACCAACTCGAGATATGATTTGTATGTGATGCCCCAGTCCACTACAAGAAAACACTTCAATTCCAACGAAAAATTCCAACGGCAAAAATTTCCGTTGGAAATTCCAATGAATATTCCAACAAACTTAATTTTATGTTGGAAAAAGTGTTGGATGGTTGAGGAATTCCAACGGATTTTTTCTGTTGGAATAGCTGTAGGAATTTATTTCCATAGGAAAATTCGTTGGATTTTAGCTATTCCAACGACCATTTTTCCTACGAATCTTATACGTAGGGATATCCGTTGGAATAGCTATTCCAACGGATATATAAGGAATTCCAACGGAAAATTTCCGTTGGAATGTAAGAGGTTTTTTTGTAGTGAGTCTTGGAAAAACATTCTCACAATTTGATTTTTGAGCATAGGTCTATCAGACCTATTGACTTGTTTGATTAACTCAAATCCTTGATTCATTGTTTTCAATAAAAGACTGATTCAGGATATTTTTTGTTCGTAGGAGGTTGATAGTGAGGAAGATGATGGCTCGATATTTTGAGATTTGTAATTTATAATGGGTAGAGTAGATATATATTGTTGTTAATATTTTTATTAGAAATTCTGAATTTGAATATACAAAAATCGGTTTGAACAAAATCAGAACAGATTTCTATACACTTCCAAGGACATTAATGACAAGGTAGTGCCCAGAAAGTCCGGTTTGCGGGAAATAACAAACATTGCCCAGACCGACGGGCAAACCGAGAGGGTGAACGCGCTACTTGAGTGCTACTTAAGGCACTTCGTAAGTGCCAACCGAAAGGCCCTCTGACGGAGGGACGAAGTGAAGTAGGTTGGTCGGCAGAGCGAAGGAAAAGCCTTAAGAGAGCGGGGGTAGGCCGGAAAAAAAAAATAGTTTAGATAATAAATAAAGCCTTTTTTTATTTTAGTAAAGATTTTACGTACTTTTTTACTTATCGGATGTTATGAGGTTTTTTTTTGTTAAACCAATTTTATGGGATATAATACAAATACAATTAGAGAATTGAACAAAATTAGAATAAATTTTAATACAATTAGATAATAAGAAAGAATTAGATAAGGAAAAGAAGGAAGTAAATAAGGAATTTTGAATCTGCCATTTTTTTAGTATAGATAGACTTTACGTACAAATTTTGACTTCACCGATTTTATGGGATTTGTTTTGAAAAAATTGATGTTAGTATGGAATAAAACAAATAAATAAAGCTTTTTTTTTTATTTTAGTAAAGATTTTACTTTTTTTTTTACTTATCAGATGTTATGAGATTTTTTTCTTACACTGATTTTATGGGATATAAGACAAATAATTAAAATAATTAAATAAATTTCTGGATAGAAATAACAATGCATTAATTACGTTGACTTTTTAACCTACTAAATTTGGTAAAGGATACCTTATTATATAAGTATAGATTAATTAAAATAATATTTAAAATAAAATAATTAAAATTGAATTGATGTAAAAGTATGAGATCAATTATTAGAAATGGTATATAGTTAAAATTATGTGAGTAGATGAATAGTGAATTAAAATTGATGTGGTTATAAAAATGATTGGTTTGTATTATTTAATTATATGAATAAAATTAAATACAGTTGGGTTAAGTTAAAGTTGAGCGGTTTTGTTATGGAGTGATGGCTCATTGTGGAGTCATCCATTGTTGTTAGCATTTATAATTTATAATAAGGTATCCTATTTACCAAATTTAGTAGGTCGAAAAGTCAATGTAATTAATGCATTGCTATTTCTATCTAGAATTTTATTTAATTATTTTATTTATTTGTCTTTTATCCCATAAAATCAGTTTAACAAAAAAAATCTTATAACCTATGATACGTCAAAAAAAAGGACGTAAAATACTTACTAAAATAAAAAAGGTTTTATTTATTTGTCTTATTCCATATTAACATTGATTTTGTCAAACAAATCTCATAAATCGGTGAAGTCAAAATTTGTACGTAAAGTCTATCTATACTAAAAAAAAAGACAGATTCGAAATTTCTTATCTAATTCGTTCTTATTATCTAATTTTATAGAAATTTATTCTGATTTTGTTCAATCCTCTAATTGTATTTGTATTATATCCCATAAAATCAGTTTAACAAAAAAAATCTCATTACATCCGATAAATAAAAAAAAGTAAGCAAAATATTTACTAAAATAAAAAATGTTTTATTTATTATCTAATTGTATGAAAATTTGTTATGGTTTTGTTCAAATCTATTTCTGTATATTCAGATTCAGATTTTCTAATAAAAATATTAACAACAATATATATATCTACTCTACCCATTATAAATTACAAATCTAAAAATATTGAGTTATCATCTTCCTCACTGTCAACCTTTGCGAACAAAAAATATTTCCAATCAGTTTTTTATTTAAAATAATGAATCAAGGATTTGGGTTAATCAAACAAGTCGATAAGTCTAATAGACCTATGCTCAAAGTTCAAATTGTGAGAATGTTTTTCCAAGACTGGGGCATCACATACAAATCATATCTCGAGCTGGTTTTGCATGATAAAATTGTAGACCAAATTATTTGAATTTTTGTTTTAATTTCGAAATTTGAAACGTATATTATTTTTTTTGTTCTATTCTCTTGTACTGTGCATTTCATCTATTTTAATAATTTACCATGTATGAGGTTTATATGTGATTAAATTGAACCGAGACGGATGAGTGATCCCGTCTTGGTCAAAATGTCAGATGTCAGTTATGTCTTAGATGAGTGGGAGAGGCCCAACCTCAGTCCAGCGTCCAGATGAGTGGGAGATGCCCAACTTGGATTTCTGTGGGAGGGGACCCCCAGAGTGTGCACATGAGTACCGATTTACTGTTAGTCCCATAGTCAGACCAGTTTATTCATATATATGTTGATTTCATAGTTTGTTATTAATTGTGCTTAGTATTCAGTGTCGGTCCTGGCGGAGCACCGTTGATTCCTTTGTGCTCATGCCCCCCCACTACCCTATTTTTTCAGGTGATGGAGTCTCGCGTGGAGCGTGAGCGGATATGTGGTGGTGATCATCAGCTAGTATATTTTGAGTGAACATGTCATGTAGTTATTTAAACGTGTCTGAACCATATTTTGTCATTGCATGTTTATTTATGCTTGTGTGTGCTTTTCGAACTATCTTTGCTTCTGCATTTCAGAACTATGTTTTAGAATTTCAAAAAAGTATGTCAGTATTTCAGTATTTCAGAATATGCATGTTTAATCCAATATTATTCATGGCCTTAATTCTAGAATGAATTTTACTTGGTCGCATGCATGTTAGATTATAGAGATGAATATGTAAGATTAAAGTTGAGTAGCATCCCGCGTTTAAAGTTAAAGTGTTTTCAAAAAATTAATATGTGTTTTCGAAAATTAAATCAGTGTTTTCCATTTATAGCGCAGAAAATTTGACTTTGATTTTAGTAAGTCTAGGCGGGGTGTTACAATCAGGCCTGCCCTCCGCCTCAAAACTGACATGGACACTTATGATGGGTTTTCTTTCTGTGGTCTGGGTTCTCTATATGTTTGACAACAAACCCTCCACGTCATAATACATGCTTGACCTGTCCCCGCACCTCGCTTCTGGGCGACCCACCCTAACTGTGGATCTGGGGATTGTCGACCTCACCCCCGTGAGCTGCATGCGCCACCCAAAGCACCTCGTCCAGGCCATCCCCACACCCGATGGCACAAAGATCCTCGTCTTCTCACAACTCATCGAATTGGACGAAGACACACGGTTACCCGGAGGCAACAATTTCGAGTTGTACGATCCCTCAACTGCCACCTGGTTTCTGCTCCCGGGAATCCA